GGGCTGGGCTGGGTTGTACTCACTGCGGTTTGCTCGGCGTGCCCATAGCATTGTAAGCGAATTCACGGGGCCGCAGTGCAATTCAGCGTGGAGGGGGGGTGTCGGCCAATCTCCTGGCACTGGGAAACCGTGAGACACCCCCACGAGGCCCTACGTGGGGGGTGTGTGTGTGTTTAGTGTGTGTATGTATGTGTGTGTTTAGAGGGGGGGTGTGTGTATAGTGTGTGTATGTGTGTGTGTTTAGAGGGGGTGTGTGTGTGTGTGTAGAGGGTGTGTGTGTGTATTTAGAGGGTGTGTGTGTATGTGTGTAGAGGGTGTGTGTGTTTAGAGGGTGTGTGTGTGTGTGTATCGAGGGTGTGTGTGTGTGTGTTTAGAGGGTGTGTGTGTGTTTAGAGGGTGTGTGTGTGTGTTTAGAGGGTGTGTGTGTGTTTAGAGGTTGTGTGTGTAGAGGGGGTGTGTGTATCGAGGGGGTGTGTGTATCGAGGGTGTGTGTGTGTATCGAGGGTGTGTGTGTGTTTAGAGGGTGTGTGTGTGTGTGTGTTTAGAGGGTGTGTGTGTGTGTGTGTTTAGAGGGTGTGTGTGTGTTTAAAGGGTGTGTGTGTGTTTAAAGGGTGTGTGTGTGTTTAAAGGGTGTGTGTGTGTGTGTTTAGAGGGTGTGTGTGTTTAGAGGGTGTGTGTGTGTTTAGAGGGGGTGTGTGTGTGTGTGTAGAGGGGGTGTGTGTGTGTGTGTTTAGTGTGTGTGTGTGTTTAGTGTGTGTGTGTGTTTAGTATGTGTGTGTGTGTTTAGAGGGGGTGTGTTTAGTGTGTGTGTGTTTAGGGGGTGTGTGTGTGTTTAGGGGGTGTGTGTGTGTGTGTGTTTAGTGTGTGTGTGTGTGTTTAGAGGGGGTGTGTGTGTGTTTAGAGGGTGTGTGTGTGTGTTTAGTGTGTGTATGTATGTGTGTAGAGGGGAGTGTGTGTGTATGTGTGTGTGTTCAGTGTATGTATGTGTGTGTAGAGGGGGTGTGTGTGTGTTTAGTGTGTGTATGTGTGTGTGTTTAGTGTATGTATGTGTGTAGAGGGGGTCTGTGTGTGTTTAGTGTGTGTATGTGTGTGTGTTTAGTGTATGTATGTGTGTGTAGAGGGGGTCTGTGTGTGTTTAGTGTGTGTATGTGTGTGTGTTTAGTGTATGTATGTGTGTGTAGAGGGGGTCTGTGTGTGTTTAGTGTGTGTATGTGTGTGTGTTTAGTGTATGTATGTGTGTGTAGAGGGGGTCTGTGTGTGTTTAGTGTGTGTATGTGTGTGTGTTTAGTGTATGTATGTGTGTAGAGGGGGTCTGTGTGTGTTTAGTGTGTGTATGTGTGTGTGTTTAGTGTATGTATGTGTGTGTAGAGGGGGTCTGTGTGTGTTTAGTGTGTGTATGTGTGTGTGTGTAGTGCAGACATGGGCAAAGTACGGCCCAACGGGCCGTATACGGCCCGTTCGGCTTTTTAATCTGGCCCGTAGAACTTGTCCAAATATTATTATTATTAAATTAAATTTTACCTTTCTCCTGTAATGCCCCCATTTCCCCATTAGATGGCGCACTTTGACCGGGAGTGTGGTGTATAGGGCCCGACAGGGCACATGATCTCGCAATGCATTGTGGGCCGTCAGCGCCATTTTCAGGCCTTGTTTACATTGCTGAGCTAGACACGGTGCTCCCTTCTCTGTTTTGCTTTGCCCTGTGAGCCCTTCTGTAAAATGAGCGGATCAAGGAAACGAAAAAGTGCACAATGAGTGCTGAGTGTTTAACACGGAGCGGGCAACAAAATACTTTTTCACTGAAGTCCAATCGAAGGCTGTGTGCCTGATATGCCGAGAAACTGTCATCAGCCGTCACTTTGCTTCGAAGCCTGAGCCAACTACGCTAGCAAGCAGTCGATGCAAGAACGGGCGGCTACTGCTCGGAGGTTGGCGGCTAATTCACAGACTCGGCAACGTTTTTTTCACCGACAAACTGCGATTCAAGAGCCAACTACCAAGGCAAGTTTTTTTTGGTGGCATTCGAAATAGCAAAGGCTAGCGAGCCTTTCTCCGAAGGCGCGTTTGTAAAAGAATGCACGGTACAGACGGCAGGCATCCTGTGTCCGGAGATCAAAAGCAATTTTGGAAAAGTCAGTTCATCACGCAGGACTGTGGCTCGCCGTGTGGAACTGATTGATGAAAATATATAGCCGGCCAATTAAACAAAAAGTCCGATTCCTTTGAGTTATATTCGCTAGCACTGGATGAAAGTATACGGACGTAAAAGACACTGCCCAGGGCCTCATTTTTATCCGAGGCATTGACGACAGTTTTGCGATAACAGAGGAGTTTTTTGACCATGGAGTCCCTGAAAGGAACAACGCGGGGAGAGGACTTGTATAACCAGGTGTCTGCCGTCATCGGAAGAATCAAGCTACCTTGGAGTAAACTTGTCAATGTCACAACCGGATGGATCGCTAAAATTTAACTGGAAAAAAAAATGTTGGGCTGCTGGAAAGAATCCAAAATAAAGCGAAAGGGGAAAACCCTGACCAGGATCTTATTTTCCTTCACCGCATCATCCATCAGGAATCCCCGTGCAAGTCTGTATTGCAGCTTAGTCATGTCGTGAATCCGGCCGTAAAACTTGTTAACTTTATACGAGCAAGAGGGGACTTCAGCACCGTCAGTTAATTACGTTCCTGGAGGAAACTGATGCGGATCATCGGGACAGGCTGTACCACTCTCGTGTCCGCTGGTTTAAGTTTTGGGGAAAGCGTTACAGCGAGCGTGGGAGCTGAACGAGGACATCGTCGCATTTTTGGAGTTGATGGTGAAATATGACGAATTCCCTGAGCTAAGCGACAAGACCCGGCTCAGTGACTTTGCGTTTGCTGTGGACACATTTCCACACGTGAATGAGCTGAACGTGAAACTGCAGGGGGAAAGATCAGTTTGTTCACGGCACGTACAAACATGTGAAAGCCTTCAAATCCAAGCTCACTTTGTTCTCCAGACAAATTGCGAACAAATCGTTCGCTCATTTCACCCCACACGCTCGCCATGCGGGAAGAGGCACCGGGAAACGCAACAAAAAAAATACAGCAAATCACTTGAGGACACCGGCATGGAGATTTCTGCCCGTAGGTTCTCTGATTTCGAAAACATTGAACAGTCGCCTCAGCTGGTGTCCTGTCCCCTGTCACAAGACTCTGAAACCAGCACCACGGGAGCTGCAGTTGGAACTGATGGATCTTCAGCCTGACTCCGTCCCAAAGAAGAAAGTTCAACTCTGTTACAAGCTGAATGACTTTTTATGCTTCACTTAACAGAGCCACGTTTCCAAACCTCCAGAGGACAGCACAGAAGACATTCAGCGTCACGAACGCCAACAAAGCGCCCGTCACAGGTCAAAGTTAACGGATCCGGCACCTCAGATCTATCCTGAGAATTGCCACAACCAGAATAACTCCAGACTTGGATGCACTGGCAATCAATGGGGGATCAACGCCACTGTTCCCGCTGAAACTGACGGTGACGATGTGTTGCTGCAGCCGAGGTTTTAGCCAAATCTCCGACACACAGCCTGCGTGGATGCTCTAACCCGTTAATGTAGATCATAAAGAGGTTCAAGTGAGGCCATTGGTTTGGGCGCGAGGCCTCAGATGTTTGCGTGATGTTTGATCAGTCACGTTACCACGTGTTTTTTTTATTGTTCATGTTCGTGCAATTGGTTCAATTGCCTTGCAAATAAATGCCTTGCTACCTGTTAAAGGCCAAATCCTTCCATCTGATGATTTTTAACACGTCATTTATATTAGTTCACACAAACACTCCATCCATCTGTTCCTGGCCCCGCCGCTCTGTCAAATGTTAGAACCCATTGTGGCCCGCGAGTCAAAAAAATGTGCCCACCCCTGACCCATAACCTCTGACCCATAACCTCTCACCCTACCCACTAACCTCCAGCAACAACGGAGGGCGGAGGAGCGACGCTCACAACGACGAGCGGAGCGCCGGGCGGCTAAAGCACAGCAGGTTGGCACAGTAGGGGGCACAGGTGGTGCATCAGCCAGTCAGTCGACCCGTGGCACCTGCTGGGTCTGCCACGTGACCTCCTGGTGCACCTAGCCTGGCACAGTAGGGGGCACAGGTGGTGCATCAGCCAGTCGTCTCAGTCAGTCGACCCGTGGCACCTGCTGGGTCTGCCACGTGACCTCCTGGTGCACCTAGCCTGGCACAGCAGGGGGCACAGGTGGTGCATCAGCCACTCGTCTCAGTCATCTCAGTCAGTCGACCCGTGGCACCTGCTGGGTCTGCCACGTGACCTCCTGGTGCACCTAGCCTGGCACAGGTGGTGCATCAGCCAGTCGTCTCAGTCAGTCGACCCGTGGCACCTGCTGGGTCTGCCACGTGACCTCCTGGTGCACCTAGCCTGGCACAGCAGGGGGCACAGGTGGTGCATCAGCCACTCATCTCAGTCATCTCAGTCAGTCGACCCGTGGCACCTGCTGGGTCTGCCACGTGACCTCCTGGTGCACCTAGCCTGGCACAGCAGGGGGCACAGGTGGTGCATCAGCCACTCGTCTCAGTCAGTCGACCCGTGGCACCTGCTGGGTCTGCCACGTGACCTCCTGGTGCACCTAGCCTGGCACAGTAGGGGGCACAGGTGGTGCATCAGCCACTCGTCTCAGTCAGTCGACCCGTGACCTCCTGCCGGCGGGCGTTCGACGCTCCACGTGGCCTCAGGGTGCACATGGCCTGGCACGAGCGCCGTGGTGACGTCACCGCCACCTCGTCTTCCAGAAGACGTCTTCCTTCAGCCGTAGGTTCTCTTCCGGAAGGAGTTCCTTGAGATCTTCCGGAAGAGATCTTCCGTTTTCAGTAGAAGATTTCCGAAAACTGTCTTCCGTAATTTGGTAGATCGCTTCTGGAAGGTTAACTTCCGGTTTCAGGAGCGATCTTCCGGAAGTCGTCACCGAACTTAGGGTGGGAGGAAAAAAAATAGTTTTTTTTTAAATCTCCAGTAAAAAAATAAATAACTATTGAAAGTGGCTAGTCAAGCGTTGCGGTCCAAAACTTAAAATAATTACACGACAATTATTCGTTACGAATTTTAATTTATAAAAATAAAATAAAAAAACTTGTTACGGCGACCGTACGCGTGTGTAGAAAGCAGGAACTTGAACATTATAAATGTTGCATCAAGACGTTGATTATTGCTTCGCATGCCCCGCACGTTTTTTTTATATCGCAACAGTAAATAAGAAGTTAACACAAATTTAAAATTATAGTTTTTTTAATAAAAAATGACGGTATGCAAATTAGCTGTCTACGGAAGCCCGTGGGGGGTGCGCCGTTCGGACTGAACGCGCTTCGTAAGGTGAGTGCCAACTCCACGTTAATTCGGAAAACTCCGCGTTAATTGGTGCCAATTAGCTCGTTAATTGGTCACGTGACTCGGTTGACCAACCGACTACGGCCCATTTAGGGGGGGGGGTTCTCGATTTCTGGCTGAGCGCAACTGGAGGTGATTTTTTACGAAGCGAGCCGCTTCAATTATTAGAGGCGCCGGAGGCGGCGAGGAATCTCAATGGAGGAGCCACAAATCGTGACTCGAGATAGGAAGTCGCTCACTCACTAACTAACATACTCACCCAGTCACTCACCCAGTCACTCACTCAGTCAGTCACTCAGTCACTCACCCAGTCACTCAGTCACTCACCCAGTCACTCACCCAGCCACTCAGTCACTCACTCACCCAGCCACTCACTCACCCAGCCACTCACTCACCCAGTCACTCACCCAGCCACTCACTCAGCCACTCACTCACTCAGTCACTCACCCAGTCACTCACCCAGTCACTCACTCACTCACTCAGTCACTCACTCAGTCACTCAGTCACTCAGTCACTCACCCAGTCACTCAGTCACTCACCCAGTCACCCAGTCACTCAGTCACTCACTCAGTCACTCACCCAGTCACTCACCCAGTCACTCACCCAGTCACCCAGTCACTCACCCAGCCACTCACTCAGTCACTCACCCAGTCACTCATTCAGTCACTCACCCAGTCACTCACCCAGCCACTCACTCAACCACTCACCCAGTCACTCACCCAGTCACTCACTCAGCCAGTCACTCAGTCACTCACTCACCCAGTCGCTCAGTCACTCACCCAGCCACTCACTCACCCAGCCACTCACCCAGTCACTCACTCAGCCACTCGCTCACCCAGCCACTCACGCAGCCACTCACCCAGCCACTCACTCAACCACTCACCCAGCCACTCACTCAGTCACTCACCCAGCCACTCACTAGACACTCACTCACTCAGCCACTCGTCCACCCAGCCACTCACCCAGCCACTCACCCAGCCACTCACTCAACCACTCACCCAGCCACTCACTCAGTCACTCACCCAGCCACTCACCCAGCCACTCAACCAATCACCCAGCCACTCAACCAATCACCCAGCCATTCACTCACTCAGTCACTCACCCAGCCACTCACCCAGCCACTCACTCAGTCACTCACTCAGCCACTCACCCAGCCACTCGCTTACTCACTCATTCAGTCACTCGCTCAGCCACTCACTCAGCCACTCGCTCACTCACTCGGTCACTCACTCAGTCACTCACCCAGCCACTCACCCAGTCACTCACCCAGTCACTCACCCAGTCACTCACTCAGTCACTCACTCACCCAGTCACCCAGTCACTCACCCAGTCACTCAGTCACTCACCCAGTCACTCAGTCACTCACCCAGTCACTCAATCACTCACTCACCCAGTCACTCACCCAGTCACTCACTCAGTCACTCACCCAGTCACCCAGTCACTCACCCAGCCACTCACTCAGTCACTCACCCAGTCACTCATTCAGTCACTCACCCAGTCACTCACCGAGCCACTCACTCAACCACTCACCCAGCCACTCACTCAGTCACTCACCCAGTCACTCACCCAGTCACTCACTCAGCCAGTCACTCAGTCACTCACTCACCCAGTCGCTCAGTCACTCACCCAGCCACTCACTCACCCAGCCACTCACCCAGTCACTCACTCAGCCACTCGCTCACCCAGCCACTCACGCAGCCACTCACTCAGTCACTCACCCAGCCACTCACTCACTAGACACTCACTCACTCAGCCACTCGTCCACCCAGCCACTCACCCAGCCACTCACCCAGCCACTCACTCAACCACTCACCCAGCCACTCACTCAGTCACTCACCCAGCCACTCACCCAGCCACTCAACCAATCACCCAGCCACTCAACCAATCACCCAGCCATTCACTCACTCAGTCACTCACCCAGCCACTCACCCAGCCACTCGCCCACTCGCTCACTCACACAGTCACTCACTCAGCCACTCACCCAGCTACTCGCTCACTCATTCAGTCACTCGCTCAGCCACTCACTCAGCCACTCGCTCACTCACTCGGTCACTCACTCAGTCACTCACCCAGCCACTCACCCAGTCACTCAGCCACTCACTCAGCCACTCACCCAGCCACTCACGCAGCCACTCACTCAGCCACTTAGTCACTCAGTCACTCACCCAGCCACTCACGCAGCCACTCACTCAGTCACTCACCCAGCCACTCACTCACTAGACACTCACTCACTCAGCCACTCACTCAGCCACTCAGTCACTCACCCAGCCACTCACTCAGCCACTCGCTCACTCTCTCACTCAGTCACTCACTCAGTCACTCGCTCACTCTCTCACTCAGCCACTCACCCAGCCACTCACTTAGCCACTCACCCAGCCACTCAGCCAGTCACTCACTCAGCCACTCGCTCAGCCACTTGCTCACTCACTCAGTCACTCACTCAGTCACTCACTCAGCCACTCACTCAGTCACCCAGCCACTCACTCAGCCACTCGCTCACTCAATCACTCACTCAGCCACTCGTTCAGCCACTTGCTCACTCACTCAGTCACTCACTCACTCAGTCACTCAGTCACTCACTCAGCCACTCACCCAGCCACTCACTCAGCCACTCGCTCACTCACTCAGCCACTCGCTCACTCAATCACTCACCCAGCCACTCATTCAGCCACTCGCTGAGCCACAACAACAGCAGCCGCCATTCAACACGAAGTGGCGGTGACATCACCACGGCGCTTGTGCCAGGCTAGGTGCACTTTAAGGCCACGTGAAGTGTCGAACGCCCGCTGGCATGAGGTCACGGGACAGACCCTGCAGGTGCCACGGGTTGACTGCTGTGCCAGGCTAGGTGCAGCAGGAGGAGGTCACGGGACAGACCCAGCAGGTGCCATGGGTTGACTGCTGTGCCAGGCTAGGTGCAGGAGGAGGTCACGGGACAGACCCAGCAGGTGCCATGGGTTGACTGCTGTGCCACAGAGGCCGATCTTGACACCGCTGGTACCGGTCATCGGCAAGTCCACTCAGCTCCACGTCCTCCTGTACCACATCACTCCATCTCTTCTCTAGCCCGTGCCGCGCCCGTTTAGCCCCCTCAATCCGGCCGAACAAAAGCTGTTTCGGCATGCGGTGGCTGGGCATGCGGGCTACATGACCCAGCCATCGCAGCCTTGCCTGCCGGAGGAGCTCACCAATGAGACCTTGCCCAGATCTTTCAAGGATTTGTGAGCTCCTCACACAATGCAGTCTGGTTAAACCCAGGATGGATCGTAGGCAGGCCAGCCTAAATGTTTCTAACCAGCGAAGATGCTCCATTAAGGGGGTCCACGTTTCGCAAGCGTAGAGAAGGGAGGGAATGACCGTGGCCGAGAAGACCTGAAGCTTAGTGCGGAGCGACAGACCAGGTAGCTTCCACACAGCATTACGCAACCGATGAAAAGATATTGCCGCTCGACTGATTCGGAGTGAGAATTCTGGAGACCTCGGCCGTCAAAATCCAACTCACCCACTCACTCACCCACTCTCTCACCACCCACTCACCACCCACCCACTCTCTCACCACCCACTCTCCACCCACTCACTCACCACCCACTCACTCACTCGCCCACTCACTCACCCACCCACCCACTCACCCACCCACTCACTCACCATCCACTCACTCACCACCCACTCACCCACTCGCCCACTCACCCACCCACCCACTCACCCACCCACCCACTCACCCACCCACTCACTCTCCACCCACCCACTCACCACCCACTCACCCACCCACTCACCCACTCACCACCCACTCACCACCCACTTACCACCCACTCACTCACCACCCACTCACCCACCCACTCACCACCCACCCACTCACCACCCACTCACTCACTCACCCACTCACCCACTCACCACCCACTCACTCACCACCCACTCTCCCGCTCTGCCTGTTTGAGTAGGCGCGATGTCTCGTCGGAACGGACCCACGGCAGCCCAGCCTGCCTCCTCCAAAGTCAAATACTCAAAGCTTCCAGACAGCGATGATGGCTACATCGACCTGCAGGTAACACAAAGCTCCCCCAGGTAGCCTCACATGGGGCTGTAGGGGCAAGTGCTGCTAGCCAGGTAAAGCTCTCTCAAACTCAATCACACTCTCGCCCATTCACTCACGGACACCCACTCTCTCCCGCACTCACACCCACCCACAATCTCTCTCATACTCCCACCCACCCACCCACTCTCTCATACTCCCACCCACCCACCCACACACTCTCTCATACTCCCACCCACCCACCCACTCTCTCATACTCCCACCCACCCACCCACACACTCTCTCATACTCCCACCCACCCACACACTCTCTCATACTCCCACCCACCCACTCTCTCATACTCCCACCCACCCACCCACTCTCTCATACTCCCACCCACCCAAAATCTCTCTCATACTCCCACCCACCCACCCACAATCTCTCTCATACTCCCACCCACCCACCCACTCTCTCATACTCCCACCCACCCACCCACTCTCTCATACTCCCACCCACCCACCCACACACTCTCTCATACTCCCACCCACCCACTCTCTCATACTCCCACCCACCCAAAATCTCTCTCATACTCCCACCCACCCACCCACAATCTCTCTCATACTCCCACCCACCCACCCACAATCTCTCTCATACTCTCACCCACCCACATACACATACTCCTACCCACCTACCCACTCACTCATACTCCCACCCACCCACACACTCTCTCATACTCCCACCCACCCTCCCACATACTCTCTCATACTCCCACCTACAATCTCTCTCATACTCCCACCCACCCACCCACTCTCTCATACTCCCAACCACCCACCCACACACAATCTCTCTCATACTCCCACCCACCCACTCTCTCATACTCCCTCCCACCCACACACTCACTCATACTCCCACCCACCCACAATCTCTCTCATACTCCCACCCACCCACACACTCTCTCATACTCCCACCCACCCACTCTCTCATACTCCCACCCACCCACACATACTCCCACCCACACACTCTCTCATACTCCCACCCACCCACCCACACACACATACTCCCACCCACCCACCCACTCTCTCATACTCCCACCCACCCACCCACACACACATACTCCCACCCACCCATATACACATACTCCCACCCACCCACCCACCCACTCACTCATGCTCCCACCCACCCACCCACAATCTCTCTCATACTCCCACCCACCCACAATCTCTCTCATACTCCCACCCACCCACCCACACATACTCCCACCCACCCACACACTCACTCTCTCATACTCCCACCCACCCACCCACAATCTCTCTCATACTCCCACCCACCCACCCACACACTCACTCTCTCATACTCCCACCCACCCACTCTCTCTCTCATACTCCCACCCACCCACCCACACATACTCCCACCCACCCACCCACACACACATACTCCCACCCACACGCACATACTCCCACCCACCCACACGCACATACTCCCACCCACCCACCCACTCTCTCCCACCCTCCCTCTCCTCCCCCCCGGTAGTTCAAGCGGCCCCCCCCACGTGTCCCCTACCGCGCCATTGCGTTGGCCGCCGCCCTCTTCCTCATCGGCTCGCTGGTCATCATCATCGGCTCGCTGCTGCTTACCGGGTACATAGACACCAAGGTGAGTGGGTGAGTGGGTGGGTGGGTGGGTGAGTGGGTGAGTGGGTGGGTGGGTGGGTGAGTGGGTGGGTGGGTGAGTGGGTGGGTGGGTGGGTGAGTGGGTGAGTGAGTGAGTGGGTGGGTGGGTGGGTGAGTGGGTGGGTGAGTGGGTGGGTGAGTGAGTGAGTGAGTGGGTGGGTGTGTGGGTGGGTGGGTGGGTGAGTGAGTGAGTGGGTGGGTGAGTGGGTGGGTGGGTGGGTGAGTGAGTGAGTGAGTGGGTGAGTGGGTGGGTGGGTGAGTGGGTGAGTGAGTGGGTGAGTGAATGAGTGAGTGGGTGGGTGGGTGAGTGGGTGAGTGGGTGGGTGGGTGAGTGGGTGGGTGAGTGGGTGGGTGGGTGGGTGAGTGGGTGGGTGGGTGAGCAGCAGTGTGGGTGGGTGAGTGGGTGGGTGAGTGGGTGGGTGAGTGGGTGGGTGAGCTCCCGTGTCTCTCCCTGTCCCCGTGTCCCACCCCCCAGTACGCTGACCGTACCTGGCCCGTGCTGACTGTGGGAGTGTTGGTCTTCCTCCCCGGGGTCTACCACCTGCGCATCGCCATCCTCGCCTACAGAGGCACCGCCGGATATTCTTACGACGATATCCCCGACTTCAGCGACTGAAAGACACGGGGGGGGGGGAGTGGGTGGGGTAGAGACACGGGCAGACGCAGGGAGACACGGGGAGAGACGGGGAGACACGGGGAGACACTGGGAGACACTGGGAGACAGACACAGGGAGACGCAGGGAGACACTGGGTGACATGGGGAGACACGGGAAATAACGGGGAGACACTGGGAGACAGAGACCGGGAGACAGACACTGGGAGACACGGGGAGACACTGAGAGGCACTGGGAGACACGGGGAGACACTGGGAGACACTGGGAGACACGGGGAGAGACGAAGACACTGGGAGACACGGGGAGACACGGGGAGAGACGGGGAGACACTGAGAGACACTGGGAGACACGGGGAGACACGGAGACATGGGGAGACACTGGGAGACATGGGGAGACACGGGGAGACATGGGGAGACACGGGGAGACACTGAGAGACACGGGGATACATGGGGAGACACTGAGAGACACTGGGAGACACGGGGATACACGGGGAGACACGGGGAGACACTGAGAGACACGGGGAGACGGGGAGACACGGGGAGACACTGAGAGACACTGAGAGACACGGGGAGACACGGGGAGACACGGGGAGACAGAGACTGGGAGACACTGAGAGACACTGAGAGACACGGGGAGACACGGGGAGACACGGGGAGACACTGGGAGACACGGGGAGATATGGGGAGACATGGGGAGACACTGGGAGACACTGGGAGACACGGGGAGACACTGAGAGACACGGGGAGACACGGGGAGACAGAGACTGGGAGACGCTGGGAGACACGGGGAGACAGAGACTGGGAGACAGAGACCTGGAGACAGACACTGGGAGACACGGGGAGACACGGGGAGACACTGAGAGACACTGAGAGACACTGGGAGACACTGGGAGACACGGGGAGACACTGAGAGACACTGGGAGACACGGGGAGACACTGAGAGACACTGAGAGACACGGGGAGACACGGGGAGACACGCACGTACGTTGCACGTGTAAATTCACCTTTGTAATAAAATTGAACTCGTAACAGCCCTGGTGTGATGTTGTAAATTAAACATTCCACGTCCCCAGCGTTCGTTTGTGTCGGGGGTTCGCGCACAGCCACTCTGCTGAGTCCAGGTTCGACTCACACCCACAGCCGCCACCACCAAAGACAAAGATCCACCGTGTAGCCTCTAACAGACTGTAGGGGCAAGTGCTGTTAGTGAGTAGCAGCACCTACACACAGACAAAGATCCCCCGTGTAGCCTCACACAGACTGTAGGGGCAAGTGCTGTTAGTAGCGAGTAGCAGCACCTACACACAGACAAAGATCCCCCATGTAGCCTTAACAGACTGTAGGGGCAAGTGCTGTTAGTAGCGAGTAGCAGCACCTACACACAGACAAAGATCCCCCGTGTAGCCTCACACAGACTGTAGGGGCAAGTGCTGTTAGTAGCGAGTAGCAGCACCTACACACAGACAAAGATCCCCCGTGTAGCCTCACACAGACTGTAGGGGCAAGTGCTGTTAGCAGCGAGTAGCAGCACCTACACACAGACAAAGATCCCCCGTGTAGCCTTCACACAGACTGTAGGGGCAAGTGCTGTTAGTAGCGAGTAGCAGCACCTATACACAAAGATCCCCCACCATGTAGCCTTCAGACTGTAGGGGCAAGTGCTGTTAGTAGCGAGTAGCAGCACCTACACACAGACAAAGATCCCCCGTGTAGCCTCACACAGACTGTAGGGGCAAGTGCTGTAAGCGAGTAGCAGCACCTATACACAGACAAAGATCCCCCGTGTAGCCTCACACAGACTGTAGGGGCAAGTGCTGTTAGCGAGCACCTACACAGACAAAGATCCCCCGTGTAGCCTTAACAGACTGTAGGGGCAAGTGCTGTTAGTAGCGAGTAGCAGCACCTACACACAGACAAAGATCCTCCACCGTGTAGCCTTAACAGGCTGTAGGGGCAAGTGCTGTTAGCGAGCACCTATGAAGGCTACCGGCACTGTGGCACACAGAGGGGGTGGGTGGCCAGCACCACGCCCGGCCGCCTTTGTCTCTCCCCCAGTGCTAGCGATGTTCACTGCACAGCTACACCAGCTACTCAGTTGAGGCTGAGTCGACCTAGGGGAGGCCCAGGACCGGTTCAGAGAATCGTCACTGGTGGTGGTGGCCGTGAGCGGGAATCGAACTCAGGTCACTGCCAGGGAGCACAGCGTAGCGCTCACCGCTCCCCACAACCACCACCACCAACAACAACCACCACCACCAACAACAACCACCACCAACAACAACCACCACCAACAACAACCACCACCACCAACAACCACCACCAACAACAACAACCACCACCAACAACAACAACAACCACCAACAACAACCACCAACAACAACAACCACCACAACCACCACCAACAACAATCACCAACAACAACCACCAACAACAACAACAACCACCACAACCACCAACAACAACAACCAGCAACAACAACCACAACCACCAACAACAACCAACAACAACAACCACAACCACCAACAACAACCACAACCACCAACAACAACCACCACCACCACAACCACCACAACAACCACCACCACGACCAACAACAACCACCACCACCAGTGGTGGTAACAGCAGTCCGCTGAGTCCGCTGAGTCCGCTGGCCGGGCGGCAAGGGGCGGCCGTCGCGAGCTTCAGCTTCAGCTTCAGCAGCAGCGGCGGGAGGCCTCCGGCCGGCGTCGTGGGCCCAGCGGAGGACGCCGCACGGATTCGCGTCAAGAGCGGCGTCGCCCCCGCGCTCGGTCGACGTCGCCCCGCCAACGACGCCGCCGCCGCCGCCGCCCTCCTCCTCTGCCACGGCCGCCCTCCTCCTCTGCCACGGCCCTCCTCCTCTGCCACGGCCGCCCTCCTCCTCTGCCACGGCCGCCCTCCTCCTCTGCCACGGCCCTCCTCCTCTGCCACGGCCGCCCTCCTCCTCTGCCACGGCCGCCCTCCTCCTCTGCCACGGCCCTCCTCCTCCTCTGCCACGGCCCTCCTCCTCCTCTGCCACGGCCCTCCTCCTCTGCCACGGCCGCCCTCCTCCTCTGCCACGGCCCTCCTCCTCTGCCACGGCCCTCCTCCTCTGCCACGGCCGCCCTCCTCCTCTGCCACGGCCGCCCTCCTCCTCTGCCACGGCCCTCCTCCTCTGCCACGGCCGCCCTCCTCCTCTGCCACGGCCGCCCTCCTCCTCTGCCACGGCCCTCCTCTGCCACGGCCCTCCTCCTCTGCCACGGCCCTCCTCCTCTGCCACGGCCCTCCTCCTCCTCTGCCACGGCCGCCCTCCTCCTCTGCCACGGCCGCCCTCCTCCTCTGCCACGGCCGCCCTCCTCCTCTGCCACGGCCCTCCTCCTCTGCCACGGCCCTCCTCCTCCTCTGCCACGGCCCTCCTCCTCCTCTGCCACGGCCCTCCTCCTCCTCTGCCACGGCCCTCCTCCTCTGCCACGGCCGCCCTCCTCCTCTGCCACGGCCCTCCTCCTCTGCCACGGCCCTCCTCCTCTGCCACGGCCGCCCTCCTCCTCTGCCACGGCCCTCCTCCTCTGCCACGGCCGCCCTCCTCCTCTGCCACGGCCCTCCTCCTCTGCCACGGCCGCCCTCCTCCTCTGCCACGGCCCTCCTCCTCTGCCACGGCCCTCCTCCTCTGCCGCGGCCCTCCTCCTCCTCTGCCACGGCCCTCCTCCTCTGCCACGGCCGCCCTCCTCCTCTGCCACAGCCCTCCTCCTCTGCCACGGCCCTCCTCCTCTGCCACGGCCCTCCTCCTCTGCCACGGCCGCCCTCCTCCTCTGCCACGGCCCTCCTCCTCTGCCACGGCCCTCCTCCTCTGCCACGGCCCTCCTCCTCCTCTGCCACGGCCCTCCTCCTCTGCCACGGCCCTCCTCCTCTGCCACGGCCCTCCTCCTCTGCCACGGCCGCCCTCCTCCTCTGCCACGGGAGGCCTCTCGCCCTGGTTGTCCCGCCCCGCGTGGCCTCCGCTGACAGAACCACGGGGCCCCAGCGGTTGACGGAAGCTTCAAGCGGAGATTTTCGCCGTGCGCCGCCGCCGCCGCCGCCGCCGTCGAGACCCGCCAGCGCCCCGCAGCCAATCGGCGGCGAGGGCGTTCGTCTTCATCCGAAGCGTTCGCGACCCCGCCCCCGCCGCCGCGGCCCGTCAGCCCGAAGACGAACGCCGGCGTCGCGTTTAGAAACTGCCGCGAGTTATTTTTATTTCTGCCTACGCGGACCTCGGCGGACGAGCCTCGGGGCCGTTGTTGGGCGAGGGGCGAGGGGGTTTTTTGCCGCGTTCTGCGTTGGGGAGTGGACCCGCACGTAGACGTAGCCGTAGCCGTGAGGTTCTCACGGCGATGGCAACTCGTGGACCATCGTGCGGCGTCCGGCGCCTGTGGAGAGACCCTCCCCGCTGCTGCGTTGGTCCTCGAATAGGGGAGGGGGAAATGTGACGTCGTCACTTGTGAGCCAATCAGGTGCAAGGACCAGAGGAAGTGGTGGTGGGGGGGTTATGTATTTGTATAAATCACGTTGCATCTCTGGGTTATTCACAGTTAATCAACAAGCGTAGCGTGGATAGCGTGGATAGCGTGGGTAGCGTGGATAGCGTGGATAGCGTGGGTAGCGTGGGTAGTGTGGATAGCGTGGATAGCGTGCTATCCACGCTATCCATGCTATGCACATCACGTGTGAACCCCACATGTGAACACCACGTGAACCCCACGTGAACACCCCACACGTGAACACACCACGCGTGAACACACCACGCGTGGTGTGTTCACGCGTGGTGTGTTCACGCGTGGTGTGTTCACGTGTGGTTCACGTGGGGATTTATCAGCGGATAAATCGCGCTTCCAAGTTGCACTGAGCCTGTGGCCATCGGAACCGCTCAAATGATCTCGTATTTCTCTCACGCTTCCACAGATTTCCCCAATTGGCCACGGCCAGCAGTGACTGGTTTCGCACGAAGCGTCAATGTCATCAGCACCAGTCGAGCGTCCTTGTTGGGCACGCGCGCGTGTGTTCACG